GTGTCTCTGGGATTTCGGGCATAGGCTGGGGGGGTACTTATGCATTTTCCCCAAAATAAAATGATAAAAACTATTTGTCTTCAACACTTGAATATCATACTTTATTTATTTTTAATTATAATAAATATACAATTTAAATAAAAAGTAGTTAAATATTTGAATATCTATATATATATATATATATATATATATCCACTATATTTTAGTCATCAATCGTAGTGATTTAAGTTATATATACTAATAATATAATAAATTTTTATATTACCAATGTATTTTAGTCGATTGCCTATCGTTTCCTATAGTTCTCCATTTTTTATATTGTTAGCGTACATAATTTAAACTCTTCTGATAAATCAGCTATCCAATAGCTATTAGAAGACATAAGGAATCACCCTTGTCTGCCAATTTCATCAAACCCCTCAGTGAAGTGACAGCACTAGCACCAATCATGTTAATAGATGCTTATATAATTAACCATTAAGAAATTTAATGGCAATATAAAATAATAGACGTATAATTTGCCACTAAAAACATTAATTATGAGCTTTCATTATTGCTTGAGCTCAGTCAGTCTATCTATTAGAATTCTAGATCAAGGAAGAAATACTTGTTAAATCAACATTTAAATACCAAATAAAGTTGCAAAAGTTGGAGGCTAAAAAGCAAAATAAAGAAAAGGAGTACTCGTTGTCTAGCTCTCTCGTAGTCCAAAGCTAATTCAATCGTATCCACCTTTGAGGAAAAGACCGAATAGCAACTCTAACTTATAATTTGATTTGTAATAGGTTACATAAAGTTATTCTAATTTTCTTCGTGACATGTTAAAGATTCACAAAATTAAAAGACATTTTCGTGCATTTGATAAATCTTTAGTTTATGACCACAAGATTCAAAATTCTTCTTCATTATTTTAAATCTCGTTTAAAGTCAAAATAGGATAAACAAATTGAAATAAAGGAAGTCATAATTATGGGAAACGATCAGCAGGGATTTGACAAACTGTAATGCTAGTAGCATTAAGGGCTTATTTGGTTGGATACAAATTATTTCAGGATTAACTATTTTGTGATTAGTTATTTCAGAATTGTTATTCTACTTTCAATATAATAACACTACAATATTAAAATAAATTGTCCCTTATCCCTTCTATCAAACGAGCCCAAAAAGAAATGTGAAATCACATTGAGAGACCAAAAACAACCCAAAAAACATGAAAATGAAGTTATAATGACGATATGATAATTGATAACATAATAAGAGAGCATCAAATTATGTACCATATAATAATAATAATAATGCTAAATATGAATGATAAGTACAACCTAATTCCAAAGTATTGTCCTTGTTAGGACAGCATAACAGACAACAGTAACTGTAGTAGTTGCATTCTATGGTTATAGTGTAATTACTTTTTGGAGAATTTATTTTCAATTTTGTATAACATGATCGGTATATATATTACTTAAGAAAGAACTCATCCGTGAAATATAACCAAGTTTTATCATACTCAAAAATCTTACATGATATCAGAACAGATAGAGGTGTTGAGATTGAATCTCACCGCACATTAAGAGACATACAAATAATAATAAAAAAAGTGTGCTCTGTCTAACCGTGCGTCTTCATAAGTTACTACTACAAGTTTCATGAGTACAAGAACTATACATGCTCTTGTTAGTACTTCCAATCAAGTTCCAACTACTACTCTTACTAATAAATTATCATACGCTAAAACCGTATGAAATTGACGGTACGCAATTATTATTATTAATAAACAAACCCTAGGTAGTGTCCTCAAAATAACTAGTAGTACTAAACCATGAAATTTTAAACTAAACTCCATGAGTAATGTTGCTTCTATTATTACCTCCTGATCCTGATGGCGAAGTAACACCAGAAAATTGTAACGATGGTGGTCGTTTCCTTTTCTTCTTTTCATAGCTAACACCTCTTGCTTTGGACTGCAAATCACGAACTTCACGAAGGTAAAGCCTAACAGCACGAGCACCAAAAGGATTCATTTCAGATTTTCCTCCATTTTCTTCATAAGCAGCTCTAAGACGACCAATAAGTGCATCAAGGCTACCCCAAGCTTGACGAAGTGGACATGGACAAGGTGCTGGAGGATTTGGAAGGCCGTAAAATGGACATATCGGTGTGTGGATTTTAGTTTTGCCAAATTGATCGAGGTAACGGAGGAATTCAAGGACGTGAGCTCCGCTACAACGGGAGAGAGACAGTGGTGGTCTATGGTTCTTAAGGTACTGACCGAAAGTGTTCCAATCACGACGTTTCTGATTCCCATATCGACTTGATGATGATGACATAATATTATTATTGTTGTTGTTGTTGATGGTGTTGGAACTCTCTACTTCTGCAAAGGAATCCATTAAATTATTATTTTTTGAGGTTTTTTTAGGGTTTAATAATAAGAGAAGGAAAAGAAGGGCATGGATTGGTGATTGAAATATCAAAAGATTTCCATATTTGTAAGATACAAGATAGAGACTAGAGAAAGAAAGAAAATTGGAGAGGCAAAAAGAGGAAGACTTTGATGAAAGGATTGATGGGAGAGTGAATGAAAGGATTCCTTTTTCTCTCTCTTTCTTTCGCTACGATAAAAATAACTTTTAACGACAATATATATATATACACATTAACAAATAGTATTAAAATCTTAACGACATTAGTTAATAGTCATAGAATCCAATGTTACTATAGTTTATACACATTAACAAATAACACATTAACAAATATGCTACGATAAAAATAACTTTTAACGACAATATATATATATACACATTAACAAATAGTATTAAAATCTTAACGACATTAGTTAATAGTCATAGAATCCAATGTTACTATAGTTTAGTGGACATTTATAAAGAGTGTTAATCACCGTTAGAAATATGCTAACAATTAAACAATTATCGTTATTAATTAATTACTGCTAAAGATTATTTTTGATATGTATGGTCATGTTTGAGTTTCTTTGTTTGAGCAATAGTAGAAAGACTGTCATGTTAGTTGATTTGGTAGCTTTGAATTCTGAAAATGATGAAAGATTGGTTTTTTTCTCAAAAGAGGGGAAGCAAAGTACTAACTCCTCCCTTAATTAATGCAATTTTTCATTGTGGTTGTTTTGGATGAGAGAGGAGAGAGAAAAAGGGTTTTTTTTTTTGAGGAAAATAATCAAATGTGGAGTAGGGTGATTGATAGATAGAGACAGTGAAAAAGTTAGAAAACATGGGGGCCATATAAAAAGGGGAGCAATATATATTCACCCACTCTCTGCTTGAATGACAGCTCCATGCACAGTTCTGACTCTCCAACACCCCCTTAATTCATTACTTCATGACTAAATCTTTTTTTGTTTTTTTCCAACTTCTTTATGTACTTTTATTGAAAAAAAAGTTATCTAAGTACGACTAAATTCTAGAGTCCTAGTGATAATATATATATTGATTTTTGTGTTTAATCAGTAATTAACGAGATTTTAAGATGTATATACACCCAAACCACGATAGGAAAGTTATTGAGAGGTGTTTACACATTTAGAAAACTTGGTAGATATATATAGTATAAGTGCATCCCTAGAGGATCTGATCGACTTTTAAGAATTATTTTTACCCAAGATGGCAAGGTAGTGAAGTCCCTCCATAGCACCAAATGTGGCGCTAGTGCAAGTTAAGATGCACACCATGTGGCAAATGTATAGCCAAGGGAAAAAAACTCTACTCAGCGAAGTAACAAATCATCAAGTTTTGAAGTGTTGAGGTCTATAGCTTCAAAAATCGTCTAAACGTTTAATTAATTTGAATTCACACAAGATAAATCATTATAAAAATAAAACGCTTCATATCAAAGAGAATTTCATTCAGACTCCTCAAGAAGAAAAGGTAATAATGACTGAATATCTCCGTCATGTGCCTCCAAGAAGAAACTTGATTTGCCAATATACATTAAAAGGCATTATTTAAATACATGTAGAGGTGTTTATATAGTACCTTACCACTGTAAAATCTGAAAGAATGGGCAAATACCCATTTTAAGTGTTACGCTACAAATTACAATAATCTGGCCCAATAAAGATTCTCAAGAAAATCATGACTGTAAGTTGTTAAATTATTTCTTTATTACTTCCAAACATTTGTACTGTTTTAAGTACTATATAAGATTTTGATATTTGTAAATATATACTATTCCTTCTGTTCTAGTAATTTATATGATTTATTTTTCTTTTAATTAATCAATGTATAAAAAAAAACACATTTCTAAATTTTAATAACAATTTATCTTTTTATTCTTAATGAAATAATTTATAGTCATTGCAAATATCTATGACTTGTTCTAAATCATAAATTTTAAAAAAAAATATTTCTTAAATTCCATGCTAAATCGAATTACATCATATAAATTAGGATAGAAAGGGGTTTAGCATGACCCCTACCATGTGTATTTATCAAAGAAGAAAACAAAAATGAAGGACTTTAAGCCTTACCTTTATAAACTAGGGACTTTGAGCCTTAAAACCACAAATTTCAAAAAATTTAAGTTGATTTTGATTATTATTACTTATAATATAGATTCAAGAATTTCTTGCAAGAGTGTTATAAGCCTACCACAACACAATTCACCTACGCAACCATGCAATTTATATAAGTCTCACTAATTTAGGATCTAATTACTTAGATATACTCTAATTTGCAATATTACGTATTTTAACAGGTTTTGGTACCTCAAAGATTCGTTCAGATATATCTCGAATACATGAGGTCAAAATTAGGTGTAATTTGTTCTAGATACATTGTATCCAAATAGATTCTCGTGTATCTTGGATACATAGCAAATTTCACTTGCCTCTCTCCCATCTTGCTCACCACTCTTTCATATATTTTGTATTCCAGATACATACAAATCACACCAGATACATGCATATACATATATCTAAAATACATACGAATCTCGCTTGGCTCTCTTGAATAGCAAAAATATATGTATCTAAGTGTATTTTCTTCAATATATGGTAGGAAACTCGAAATGACATCCCTAAACGAAACTCAATCATTAATCCACCAAAAGTTTCAACAATTCACAAAATTCATCCCTAAGCTTTTAAAAACTCGAATTTTGAACTGTTCACTTTATTTCACCCAATAGTTATTTAAATCCGTGATGGCAAACACAAATATCACTCAATCAATTTCTAAGCATCAAAGAATGAAAAACATATTCTCACATAGCAATTTCAACCACCTATTTTTTCAATTTCAAGAACATAGGGTAAGAAGATACTAGATAGATGGAGTGTAGTTACTCTAACATGAGTATTCACAACAACTTGTCACATATACAATATCTACTAGCTAACAAATGGCCTTCTTGAGAAGAAAAACAACCATATATAGGGACAAAACCTTATTAGCATTTGTTGCCAATCCTGAAAGCTATAACACAAGAATCTACTACCATTTACATATCACAGTCCTAACCAGTAGCAAACAACTTCCTAATGGTAAAACAAACAAGAATGGGGAAACTACAGATGATTTTTCAAAAAAACAATATTGCTACTGGAAAGAACGATGACCGACACTCTGAATATTGTATCCAATGGCAAAGTAACATGATTCAATGAGCCAAAACCTAGACATCATGACTTTCCCCTCCCCGTGGCTGCTTCACGTTGGCTCCGGAAATGACTGAGAAGTTGTTGTGCCTGCTCCGTTATAAAGAGAAAATACAAAATTTATCATCCTGAAGCTAGGAAAATTAACTTTAAATCAAGGATAAGAAAAGGAGAAAAAATTGTTATGGCTTCCCGTTACCCACACCCATCATGGTGGGGTTTATTGAGTGTACTATAACCAGCTTGAAATTTGTCGGGAGGGCAATGTGATGCACACCAAAATTGTATAAACCCTCTAAGACTGAGTAGAATCTTTTCTTATATAACTGTCTGTCTAGTTATTGGATCCAGATGAAGAAAGTAGAGTTTATTTTAACGAATAGTCTTTCATTTAAATTATAAACCGGCCCTTTAATTTCTCAGGCACTTCGTTTAGTAAGAAGATGACATCTAGGAAGAACAGAAAGATTGAAGTGGATAATGCAAAATGGGAACTTTTTAAAGAAGACAAAGCTACATACCTTCTCCTTTGCTCTTGGGGAGCCCGACTGAGACAATGCAACAAGTGGTGGGACAGCACCTTCTTGCAACACTAATCGACAATACTTGGGACTGTTGAGACACAGTTGCAGCAGTATTGAGGCAGCATTTTCCTTTCCCCGCTGAGATCCGGTTTCAACAATCTCGACTAGTGATGGTATACCCTCCTCTCGGGCAATAGCTAAGCAGCCCTCTGAAATGGTAGACAAATTTGCAAGAAGAGCAACAGCCTTATCAACCAATTCATTTGAAGGGTCCAACAACCTAATGAGATGCTTCACGGCTCCAACCTGAATGATGCGAGCCTTATTTTCATGAAATATTGACAGGTTAAATAATGCTGTAGCAGCGTCTTTTTTCCCTCTGATGGTACCTAAACCAAGAAGATCGACCAATGCTTTCACTGCTCCAGAACGCCCAATCTTTTTTCTGTACTCTTCCAAAAGAGACAGACTGAAAAGGGCTGCAGCAGCATTCTCTTTTGCTCCAGCATTTCCTGTTCTCAGGACATAGATGAGGGGTTCAAGCGCCCCTTGCTCCGCAATCATGGCCTTGATGTCTTCATTTATTGATAAGTTTAGTAATGCTGTCACAGCATGCTCTTGAGTTGGTTTCACATCAGAGTTTAGCAAGGAGATAAGTGGAGCAATAGCCCCACAGCGGCCTATAATAGCTCGGTTTTCCATGTTGTGCTTTGCAAGAAATCGGAATTCTGCTGCAGCTGCCATTTGCACCTCAGTTGATTGACTTTCCAAGTCTCTAATAAGCTTTTCAACATGGGAACTCGTGGTCAGATCATCAGATGCCGACTTTGTTGGTAAGGAAAGTTGTCTAGCATGGTTGTGAAGTACGTTCACAGCCATTTCACTCATTGTTTTGGAGCTGCGATATTGCCTTGCAGACAAATTAGGAGAATTCCCAACACTCTTGTTGCACGGAGAAGAAATGCGGTAATCACATTGTACCTCTCCAGATGTATCACTCACATTATCATGTTTGCTTGATATCCTTGAGACATCAGTTGACGCTGAGGGAAGATATTCAATACTGGAAACAGCACTTGATACGGATTCACTCCTGCTGTGTATATAGGAAATCCCTGGGGATGTGTGGCCAGATTTTTCAGCCTCCCTGATACGGCATGAACTAAATTCTTCTTCACTTAATTCGGATGTGCAATCAACCTTCTGACTTTCAAAAGCTTGTCCACCTTGATGACAAAGTCTTGATGTTGAATTGCTGGGATCTGAGGAACCTCGCACATTGTCCATATTAGTAAGGTGTACAGAATTAGATGTGATTCCATCCTGAGTGGACTCAGGGTTCCCGTCAAGCCTCACTTTGTTTACCTCACACCAATTTTCTATCAGAGCTTTAACAGTGTAATTTGGGATAAGATTTGAATGTGCAAGTGCTTGGTTGGTTCTTGGGC